TGTGTGTCACCTGTGTTTGCTATGAGGGTATTTGGATTGATTAGGGTCTTTGGTGATTCAATAAAATGTGGGGGGAAAACGGTATAGAAAGCAAACATAGATACCAGAGACAGTGTGGGAGGAGAGCAGGAGGTGGCAGAGGGTAAGAGATAGGGAATCAAGGATGGGGGGGGAAGGCAAAACATACAGAAAACAAGAAATGGAAAATTATTTGCTGACAATAACATGTTTGTTGATGTGCTTGATTGAGACAATATACAGTGTACTCTGGATGGAAAATCTCATTTTGTATGCTGTAATGATGTACAGTGAATGAATGCAAATAAATAAATTGAAAAAAAAAAGGAAACTCAAGCCTCAGAAAGGAGGGATGTTGAGATTTCAAATTGCTGCAGGTGAGAGTGTCAATTAATGGGAGATCTTTCTGGAAAACAATTTGGTAGAATCTAATCAGAATCTGTAAATGCAGTTTATAGTCTTGACTTTGAAATTCCACTTTTGGAAATCAGTGGATCAAAAGCAAATACCCAAAATTTGGAGCGTTGTGTGCCACAATTATGGTTGAAGCATTATGTGGCACAATTAGAAACATTGTAAATGTCCAGCAAGAGATAAAGGAGTGAGTTAATAAGATAGTCCGTGGGACCAGCAGATGGTGTAATGGTTACATCACTAGGCCTCCCCTGTAGTTGATTGCAGATCGAGTCCCAGACCCAGCGGCTTAAAACTCATGTCAAATATGTGCATGCGTGCCCAAAATCCCGAGAGGAGACTGGAGGAGAAGGGATGAAGGGATTGTGGCGTGGCCGCCCTCCCTGGAGGGGGAGGGTGATTTCTCACTTTTTATCTCTCTGTCTGTCTGGAGAGCACACGCACCCTATACCAAAAAAATCTCTCTTTCCAAAAAAAAAAAAAAAAAAAAGATAGTCCATATGCTGAAGTCTTAGGTAGCTATCCCTCAAAAGTTGGATTTGTGAAGGGTTCTAATAGCATATTCCAATGGTAAGTGACAACAGCAGAACGAAAAATTACATGTGAGGAGACTTGTAATAGTCCAAGGAAATGTGGAATTGAAATATGAGTTTATTTTGGTACAAAAACTTTTTGAAATCATGTATTTGTTAAAACACTCATTTTCCGTAAATATTTTGAAGGCTCTTTCCCCCATGTACACAAGATAGTCTCAACTCTGATCGAAAGGAGGCTAGGGAAGACAAGCGTTAGCAGGAGGTACACCTGTTTGTCCCACAGCTTCTTGTTTTGGGATTCAGTGTGTGGAGGTGGTGAAGCCCTAGTGAGCAGTGATTGCATCACCATGATTATGTCATGGAGGCTCCACTCTTTTTTTTTTTTAATTTTTTTATTTTTTTTATTTTTTATCATCATATCTTCTTCATATTACATTGGATTACATATAACTTTACAGTGTATTACATTGTTTCTTCAAAAGGGAATGCCATGCAGGTCAGTCAGTACAGAGACATTAATCTCCCCACTTCAACATTCCATATCTTTTCTGTTTTCCCCAATCATTATCTTTATTATTCTAATTATTTTTATAAAACAGTCAATTGCTATTTCTCGTTTTGCTTGTAAAAATACTTTGCCCGTCATGAAACACTTCTCAGACCAATCCAGTTGAGAATTCTATACATGTCATCATCAACAGTTAATAAGCCCTATCTGTTTCTCACTGACGTCCTGTCTCTCTATTGTTCACTTGCTATCTTTCTCTATCCTCTTCTCTTCACTTACCCCATTCCACACTGTCCTATTCTCATTAAGTACCTTCACTTCAAGAATGGTAGAGTAGTTCCTGTTCTTCCCTGAGGCAATGCAGGGCTGGTAACCATCATCTTCTCAAGTTGCAAGTTCTCAGACCTTGTTTTCCGCTTCAGCTTGCTGGTCCAAAGGCCACACGCCAGCCCTGGAGAGGCAGCTGAACGCCAGGGCATGAGCCCTGAGCCGCAGGACCCCCGGAGGGGGGCCGGCCAATCAGCG